CTCCAAAAGCACTTTCCTTACTCAATGCATTTGGAGGGGCTTGGGTGATGCAGCACAGCCACAGGTAGAGAAAGAAGATGCTGTTTAATGAAACCTAACTTCATAATTATAGTGGGAGTACGCACTTCAACTCATACGCTAGACACGCCATAGATGACTGGCTGCAACTTCATATGCAAGCATAGAGGTCATGGACTAGGTGACCAAGCGGCTAGATTGATAGCGTAGACGAATGGAGGCTCACAGGATCATGAAGAGGTGACTTAACCCAGTGCAACCGCATAGCGTTGCATCACTATTATGCTTCTACGAGGTGAAAAGCCGCAAATAATAAGTGGGTTGCTAAGACATTGAGCATTGGTAATAAAAGTTTCTGTACTCCTATAATTACGATTGGGAAGGAAAATGCAAATCCCTCCGTCTAGTATTATTGGCTTAACAAAACACGAGCATCACAGTGACCTTGACAACCGGCATCAAAGTGTTATTTGACTATCAGACTATAAATGATAAATATCGGAACCTTAAAGTGAAGAATTCGAAGACTCTTTTCGTGTGTTAGTTGTAATGCAGTGATGTTAGGTAAGGCGGTATTGCTACAGTGATGCAGCAACAAGCCAATCCTACACTTCCACCTTTTCAATTAACGTATCTCAACCACCCTACTGTGCACCGATTACATTCAACAATAAAGTTAGTAATAACTGACCCGTGGACAATCGCTATGGCTGTAGCTAAGGTCTCTCAATCATGCTAACATACACAAAGACCAGAGACGAAGAAATAGGTGACGGGCAGTTTCCTCGACTTTGACTATTGGATACACCTACTGATATAGTTGCGCTTTTGAGTATGAAAATTAGGCTTGACTTTATTACGTAGCCAAGCACATGGGTGCATGAGAAGCTGATTAAAAGTTACCACTTAACCTAAAGGCCATCAGATACATTAAACAAAGGCACTACTGACAAAAGGGCTCATGATTGGTTCGTGGCCTTAAAGTGCCTGACTTCTAATTGGGCGTCACATTTATAACAGCATTATTATAGTGCGGCGTTGGTTAAAAATACGGCAGTTGAAGGTATTGCGAAATGGAGGACGCAACAGACGTGAGGAGACCCTGCTGCTCAACCGTTGCCAAGGCATTTAAATCCGAGCTTAAATGCCGAAAATTTGGATTCTCTGGCGCCAACTACAAACTCTTTCCTTTTGCACAGGCAAGTTTAATGTGAACTGTAGACCTTTCGAATGTTTGGCAGTTTGTGAAGCTTAGTCCCAACTTGTTGTTGGCTTGAGTTTAAGTAGATTAGGCCAACGGCTTCCGCCTACCCATGTCTATTTGTGGAGAGCACGCAGGACGTGCAGAATTAGTGCTACTGTTGATGCCTTTGATAACAAGAGTGACGAGATTACAACTAACAGAAATTGGCGATTATGCGGATAGAAGTGAGAGTATTCAGAGCTCCGTCATGCAACTAAATATATCCTCCAATTTGTCCATTTTGACATTGCTAAGGTTAAAAGCAAAACGAGAGATTCCATCTACTAGCATCAGCAGCGTTGCCAGTGAAAATTCACATCTAGCGCCTCCAAGACAGACTAACGCACGCATTCAAACCTCGCAATATTGTCATCGGTATGCAGAATCATTGGCATGGGAAATTGAACGCGGTGAACTTTCTCCCGATGTAAAGCGATGAGGACGAAGGTGGGCCTGTTGACAAAATGTGATGATAACGATAAGGAGTGGGCACAAGACATCACTAAAATGCCTTCCTTTTTACCAGTCAGCAATTATGCTCTTTTAGTGGATATGGATGGATGGAGTGGTTTATCCACTCTACCGATTCTTCATATCCATCGGTCTCCTCGTCTGGGCTTGCGTAGAGATACCGCTGGAAGTAAAGCGCAGCCGGGAGGAGGGCACAAAGCTCTACTACTTTCTCTACGCTACCAACTGGGGTTTCCTCATTTACACTATCAGCTCCAACGCCTTCGCCATTTTTGCCACTTATTTCAATTGCAACAAGGGTGAGTAGCTCGTGACACATTCACTCCTGCAAACACCTTACACCCATTGCCTTGACAACCCAAAACTACTTTCAGAAGTATCGCAGAATAAATTTTCACGAATTAAAACTGCCTCCAAACACAGAAGACAGGAGGTCCATCAAAGTGACATTGTAAACCTTCCAATGTCTTCCAACGCAAGGCCATTGAAGCAGTAAGATAGACTTCGACCAAGTTGCTTCAAAGGCGCTCAAGTGGAACTGAAAACAATTAAAATGAGAAAATGCGGTTTGGGAATGCATTTTGATCTATGTGAAGTTCTGAATCCCAGTAGCATAGGATTGTCGGTCTGTGAGGGACGCAATAAACCACCAAAGAGAGACACACAGAGAGAGCCTTATGATATTGTTGCATTGGAGTACAAGAAAACACCAGAAGATGCTCGTGATCTAATTGTACGACATTAAAAAAGAAGATATAACCTATTTATATATGATATTTTCAGAGAAGACTGTGCCAAAGTGGTTTGCTAATCTGCTGTGGTTCTTCTACGAGTTGGGAATGAACGTTGTGCTGATCACCTCTTCCGTGTACTGGATAGCCTTGTGTTATCCTACATACAGTGAGTTCACATGTCATCTTATTAATCTTAGCCTCTGATACGACGCTTGTATTTCGATTGTGTACTAGAGAAGGGCCAAGCATTCTTTGTTTCACGCGTACTTCCAACTAACTTTGGGATTGAACGTTGAGCCTTGTTCTAGAGGCATTTCTGCCTGTGCACTAGAATGGGATTGCCACCAAAACGCATCAGCATGAATAAGTGTTTTGTAAGTGATTGAGAGAGAAACAATGCGAACAGCGTATTCATTTGAGACAAAGAAGTTGCCGTTAGGCAATGGGAGGATAAATGCATGTTGTGCAATGTCTACCAAAAGTGCAGCATGAAATTCAGACTCACACATGAATGACCCGAGTTATTTAGTGGTGTGTAACAAAATGAGAACTTTTAGAGTGGGAGTACAATCTCTGTGCTTGCCATGTGGCCGCGTCAAAACCAAAGGGGAAACGTCAGATGCATCTCATTCTCCGCTACTCAATTAGTGTCACACAAGCCTTTCATTTAATATTTATTTCCTCATTGTATCCCGTCAGAGGACACCACCGGCCAGGCTTAAGAGCTTCTTTTGGAATGGATAATGATAGGCAGAAAAAAAGACTGAGTCAATCGTTTGCCTTTAAAATCAACAGGTTTACATGAGGTCTGGCAATGGAATTTATCTTCAGCGAAAAATTAACGCTTTCATTGCATGCACAATTACGAAGAAATGCCAAGAGAAGATGTGACTTATTCATAGGAAAGGAAAAATGATTTATGACTTGATAAAATATCAACGTAATGCTAAAGGCATCCATTTATAGAATTCACATCACAACTTATTAATGTGATGGGGCACTATAAGAGAGATGGCCTAAGCTTGCAAAAGGTGTGACCTCTTTTGTGCAACCTTAGTATCATGCAACCGGCGGTAGATGTAGACTAATCAACCACTCACAAGAAAGCCTGGAAGGCTGTTACACTGGATCTCGAGACTAAGTATTGACAATTAGTGTTTTGAAAAGGCCAAATCAGTTGGGCTGCATTTCTACCCAAAATCCTCTCTATTAAGCTGGGCTGATTATGCAAGACGACTAGGTGTGGACTGAATGAAATTTTCCAAATTCCCATAAGGTTTTGAGCCCCTGAAGTGATTGTTACTACTGGACCATACTGTGCAATTTAATTTTTCGATGCAAAGTTGGATCTCTATAAAACGTTCACAAAGTCTTGATTTAAAATGCACAAAGTGTGACCTCATGAACTTATTATTGAAAGCAAAGCTCATCGTGTCCTGAGTAGCACACAAAAATGTCGTCGCTAATGTATCCCAAACTTGTACTGATATTTCGCGTTTTTTGCAGCGCGATTCCATCGACCGGAGGCACGATGCAAGCACATATTGCCTGCACTCACGGTGCTCTTGGACATGTGGGTGAACGGACTACCAATTAACCTCCTCCACGCCATCTACCCCGTTACTTTGGGTTTCATCTATGCCATCTTCTCCTACATCTACTACGACACGAAGGACACACATCCTATCTATCCGGTCCTTAACTGGAGCAGACCCGCCGAGGCTGCTGGTGCCAGTGCCGTCACCATCACCTTAACCATCGTTATTCAAGTAGGTCTTGTTTTATAACTCCCTCCACAACTTTACTTTCAACTCTTTTGGTCTCAAAACCTTAGCGATGACTGGCCCAAAATCGATCCGCAAGTGGACAACCACTTAAAATGGAAAGATTAACAGTAATAATATACCACAGGTTCAAATTGACTGCAAATCGCCTTGTCCAACTGCTACACTGTGGTTGGACTGATTTAATACGATACGACAAATCATCGACCCGACATTGAGTAAAGTGCTAAAGTGATGTCCTCAGACATAGAATGTGTAAAAATTCCATCAAGAATGCAACAGTGAATTGCGGAATTGCACAATATCAACAACACCTTAGCGGCTTAATACACATACCATAAATAATCCTGCGGTGGTACAAGCACGGGATCAAGCGGAGACGCAAGCACAGATGTTTTGACTTGGCTACCATGACACTTCTACACTCTCCTCTTAGCGTCATCAGACGTTCAACATCCTTCCGATACCAATAAGAAAAGCTTTTCAAAGCTAACCACTTCAACAGCGACATAACTGCTTCAAAGAACGAGTAAACAAAACCAAATAATTGTCACCATCACGTCGCCGTGCCTGTGGTCCCTCCAGTAACTGGGGGTAATTTGAACATAAATGCTCCACACCGTCAGCACGTTCCTCCGAAATAGAAAAGGCTGGAAGAACCAAATTAAGTAGTAAAGTATGAGTAAAGTAGGCATGATGGTCACCAATAAGAAGCGAGGACTTTCTCCAAAGCTTGTTTGTAGTCAAAGCTGCAGCAAATATATGCCCTAAATGGTTGTACACTATATTCACTAGATCTTCCTCTATCTGCTCTATGTCGGTCGTATCGCGGTGAGCTACCGATTGAGGGGAAGAGGTACAGCAATAGTAGAGGAGTGGTGGAGCAGATCTCAAAATACGGTCGACGAAACTTACATTGAAGAGGAGACCAAATAGAAGAGGAGAAGATTGCCTCCTTCGACAGCTCACAATTTTTCGATGTTTTCACAAAAAAACCGAAATTGACAACTGGGTCCCTTCTTACTTGCAGACAAATTTGAGCAAAATAACATCCTTTTATCTTCGCTAATTACCGACTCTTTCAGGATCTAGTAAATTATAAGTGAGACGATGGTGGGAAATAAAAGGCAATTATCACGGAAAGAATTTGCTTAAAGAAAAAAGAGAACAAGAGCAGGTGATTTTGGATGTTGCAGAGTACAAGAAGCAGCATCACGAAAGAGGATACACCTATCCTTCACATACAAAAAGTCATACGAATTGTAAGGCAATAGAAGAACAATTACAGAGGTTTCGGTCTACTAACGCAACCACTTGATTTCAAAATCAATTTTAATGCAACATCCCACGCAGATATTTTGACATCCATGTTACATTTTAATGTATTAGACAAAGCGTTGTCGAACGTCCAGAGCACGGATATGTAAACACAAGAGCAAAACGGCCAGTAAACAGCTACAACACCGTCCAGGTGGCAAAGTAGAGTACATTCAACACATACGTTCTTATGATGCAATAACAGCATCATTTTATTGCACGGATCCTCAAATCTTGCACCAAGGTTTATCAGCGTTAAATGATGGACGGAATGGGAAAGGCGTTATACTCCGAAGGGTAAAGCAATCGCCACGGCTATTCGGGACAAACGACTATCGGAACTGAAAGCAGTCAGAGAAGCCATTGGGTTTTTTATGAGCGAAGAAAAGCCCAAACCTACCTCTAGGAAATGGGCAATCAAAGATAGTGTATGATGGATGCATAATCCTGTGGGCTCAAGAGAAAAAATTTTATTACCATCAAATGGACAAATGCTGCAATCATTTTAAAGAAAAAAACTAATCTAGATGCAATTGAATGGATATTACAACAGTTTCAGAAAGCTGGAAGATGTCAAGACAACTATGAGCTTTTGGCTCACAAGGGGGCATAAAATTAGCGGAAGTAGCGGTCACGATTGAGACATGCATTACTACCCACGTGATTATAGGGGTACGTTGAAGGCAAGTGAGTGGGGCTAAGTACTAAGCAAGCAATGTTGCTAGTTATAATACCATCATCGACGAGATAGACCTCCCAAAAATGTAATGATATAAATAAACTGCTACTGATTGTTGAATTAACGTTGAGGATGTACAAGCGTTATGGTGCCCAAGAAATTAAAACAAAGCATTACAGCGAAACTCACCTTCACCGTATAGAGGGAAGTAAGGAGGGAGGATTGAATGCATAAAAGTGTTGAGATCTTTCCAAAATGCTTGAGTGTTCACACTACTCCGAAAAATAAGTTATAATTGGCATGAGCGCAAGTCCTAAGCCTACAAAGCTCAACCTCAGACGACACCCAAAACCAAAACAGTCTAAAATGGATAACAAATTCGGTGTGTATGTGATACATCAAAGGCACATACAATTACAATGAAAAAGAAATGATTATTGAAGGCTAGAATGCAGAATTGACGCGACACAAAAGTGTGGGATGCTTAAGAGGATTTAGTAGAATCTTTGGATTGTGTATCTCTTTGGCGTAAGTAGGCGTATTTGTCCACCTTGGGAGGTCTTCGAAGAGACTTAGAGTCGTGCAGCTCTACGCAGTTCAGATATGTCTCGACACTCGCTTTTACGTCGAGGGATTGCGGAAGACCGATGTAACGGACACGTTTCCCCGGTATGTTGATTTCCTGCACAAACAGTATCACTTATATAATGACAGTAAGAAAAACAATCAGATGAAGTAAGGCAGAACATCTCAAATCGGACAAGACGAATAGCCCCAGGTCTTTGATGACATGAAGAGGAGGGACCTGTCTTAGGTGGGTAGGGAAAGGCAGTATCAGAAAGGCTCAGTTGAACTAACTACCACAATGGGTTGCCAAGTAGTCTAAGAGGTGGTGTAAACGGGGAGTGGGATGGTAATACAACTGCGTTAAGTTAGCGCTTAGACTTACTTTAAACGCAAACCTAAAAAGCTTTACAGACATAAATGTAAATT